TGTATCAAGTCCATTTCCTGACTTTTTTTTTTCTTTTGCCTTGTGTAGATATGCAAAGCAGATGAAAAATTTAATCAGTTGGTGCATTTTCTTCGACAGCACAAACAGGAGAAACATCTAGTCTTTTTCAGGTAATTCTGTTCGGGTTTCATTGTGAAAATAGTGTGGTGGTTTATTGCTTAAATTCCAAACCTGTGCCTCTGTTGACAAGGACACAACTATTTAAAAAGTGATTAATTTTAATAGCTGTCTTGTAGAATATGGTGTCTAAAAAGAGATTGATCATTGCTTCCTCTCAGGATTGTGTTGAAACTTATTAAGCAAAACATATATTTTATATGCATTTTAAAAGTAAGGCATTATAGATTATTATATGTTAATTATAAAAAAGATGTATATATTTTAAATTAAAATAGGCAATATTGGATATTTTTGAAAGGTCTCGAGCCACTCTAGCTTGACTGTCTAAACAAGATTAAAAATACACCATAATCTTTTGCTTTTATGTATGTCTTTATCACAACAGCACGTGTGCCTGTGTGGAATACTACGGGAAGGCTTTGGAATCCTTAATTAAACAAGTGAAAATAATGAGCATTCATGGCAAAATGAAACACAAGCGGAACAAGATTTTTACTGAGTTTCGGAAGCTCCCAGGGTAAGTGCATATGAATTGGCTAAACCAGATGAAAGGATAAATAGTAAGGCATGTGTTATTTTGTCTTACAGTGTGATACTGCCACTTAAGCGTAAGTGTTGTGCTGAGGAGAAGGATGCTGCCAGCTGCTTGTGAAGCCAGGGTAGCACACGATATAAATCAGAAGCGCTAACTCCTAAGCATGCTACTGTATTGAATGAGAGAAAAAATAATGTATTTTTATTAACACAAACTATGCTTAGGTACTCACAGTATGACCACAAAGAAGGTGGTAGTGAAAAATAACCTTTTCCTGATTGGTAACCACAGCAGAAACCCAGGATACTATTTTGTTAGTATATGAACAAGAATGTGGCAACATGATGTTGTAATCTGCCTGCAGAAGAGTCGTCTTTGTCAGCTTTGCAGGATGTTGTTAGAGCCTCTCGCACCGTTAGCTGTCATTTCTTACTGCATGGGACCTGAGTTTTAGCATTGTACGTTATAAGGAAAATAATTACCAACAGACTGGAAGAACAGCTGTTTAAAGGAGCATGCTGAAAGTGTCAGTCTCAGGTCTTTTATTAAAACATTTATAGTATTGTGTTCAGCTGTGGTGGAGAAAATAAAAATAGAACTTGTATTAGGGAGTTTATTTTTTTTCTTAGTGATATGTTTGCTGTAATAGAAATCACATTCCTTTCCATAATGTCATGTAGAATTTTAGTTGGTGGAAGCTGCAACTACCTTATATTTTGTCTCTTTAAAAAAACCCAAATGTTTTAAAACGTTTTGTTCCTCATTCTCCAGTGTAGATGCAGAATACACAGTTGGGGGGAGAGTGGCTCTTCTCAAATGACAGTTTAATGAAAATACACTCTTTGGCATTTTAGTTTGCACCGATGTGATGGCCCGTGGCATAGACATTCCAGAAGTTAACTGGGTCTTACAGTATGACCCGCCCAGCAGTGCAAGGTACAAGTTCAGATTTTAAGACCCTTTATTCTACTTGTGGTCACGCTATTATACTGTTAAGATATAACTTGAGAACACACAACTGTGGAAGACACAATCACTGGGAGTTAGTTTGAGTGAACACACAAAATAACGCGTGAAGAAGAGAGGTTGAAACACCACAGGTTTTGTTGTAGCTGCTGTGAATTGAAATGCCTGTGTTGGGTGTGTGTAAATCAAATGGGTGGTCACCACTTACATTTGTGTGAAGAGGCGCTCTGCTGTAAGTCTTGGTGTGAGAATATCAAAGAAATAACGAGAGGTGAGACACGAGGGTGAATGAGAACAGAGGTGAGAGCGGGGACAGAGCTCTTCAAGGAATGGTACATTGAGAGTTCACCTGAAAGGTGCTTTTCCATGTATTTTAACTTCCAGTGTCATAATTCTCTCTACAGCTTGCTTAAACTCCATCCCTAAAACAGACTCCCCTTGTTTTAGCATCCAGTCCTAACAATTGAGCGGTACTCTTAGAACTATTGCACTTTTACCGATTTCGTGCTGGTTTAGTTCTAAAGTTCATAGCACTCTGTATTTTCCATTCCAACAGATTTCCCCTTTTGCTGTGTGTCTAGTACCTTAAAATCAGTCTGAGCAGCTCTTGTTAAGTTAGCTCTGTGTTGTGTTGTTTCAGTGCCTTTGTGCATCGCTGTGGTCGAACAGCACGGATCGGCAATGTCGGCAGCGCACTTGTATTTTTGCTTCCCATGGAAGAATCTTACGTTAACTTTCTCTCAATCAACCAAAAGGTTGGTAGACTTTTATTCTACCCCAAAGCAGGAAGGGGCAAGGGGACAGGCTTACTGATAGGAATTTTGAAATCTGAATTTGTAGGACTTAAGGTCATATGCATAGATAATCTTTTAGTAGAGGTGCGTAATTAAAAAAAAATAAAAAGAGCTGCTTATTAATCACCAAATGCAACTACCTGTTAGAACATGATTGCTCCCAGTGTTACCTGACGAGTTTGTAACAGGAATATGCGAGGCATTGCGTAAGGAATGGCTTTTTGTTTCTAGTAACTCGGATAATTTCCTGTGTTTGGTCCTGCATTTGTGGGTTTAATTGTGTAAATTCTCTAGAGCCCTGCTGATGAGAACATGGCTTGATGAGGCATGAGGTGAAGGTGTTGCCTCTCAGCTGTTTTGCTGGGCGAGGCTGACCATCTAAACTGGTGTGTGGAAATGACCAAGTAAAAGGGGGAAAGGGGCTGAAAGCTCACTCTGGATTAACTGGGGAAGAAGTGTGTGTTTGAAGTTTCACAGTGCATTTTGCATCATTCAGCTGAACTTTTCCTTTGGTTTTGTGTTTCTTTTCTGGTTTTCAGTGTCCCATGCAGGAAATGAAACCACAGGCAAATGTGTTAGATCTTCTTCCAAAACTGAAGTCGATGGCCCTAGCTGACAGGGCCGTGTTTGAGAAAGGGATGAAAGCGTTTGTGTCTTACGTCCAGGCTTATGCCAAACATGAATGTAATCTGATCTTCCGAATCAAAGGTAGTTCCCAGCAGGAGTTGGTATCTCTTACTGTTGTTTTCAGAAGACAGTATTTGGTTTGGGGGGGAAAAAAAAAAAGTTATTGTGCACAAGCTTCAGCTCCTGATTCCTGATCTCAAATTTACTTTCTGCAGCTTCAGATTCTGACAAAACTCCTATTTTTTCAAGCAACTTGTTTCTCATTGTTTTCAAGAGAAAATATTTAATTAGCAAGTTGACCAAACTGCCATAAGCATGAAAGTGACTTTGTATTGTCACTAGTATTAAGCATAGACTGCAAACAATACAATAAAATAATGGTGTGTTGTTTTTTTTTTCTAACTTGCTAAGTGAAATTAACTTTTTATCCAGCAGGAAACTGACTTTATAATCTCTCTTTTAACAGATCTGGATTTTGCTAGCCTTGCCAAAGGTTTTGCATTGTTAAAAATGCCAAAGATGCCTGAACTAAGAGGAAAATGTTTTCCAGACTTTACTCCAGTCACTGTTAATACAGACTCCATCTCATTTAAGGATAAAAATAGAGAAAAACAGAGACAAAAGCAATTAGAACAACAAAGAAAAGAAAGAGAGGAAAACGGAGGCAAAAAGAAATTCATAAAGAACAAAGCCTGGTCAAAGCAGAAAGCCAAAAGGGAGAAGAAAAAGAAAATAACAGCTAAAAGGAAGCGTGAAGAGGTAAACTGTTCCCATTCTACTAAACTGCATGTGATCACTACAGCATAGGCACATACCCTCAAATGGCAGAGAGCAGCAGGATTTTACTTTGATGGAATTGATGACTGTAAATTAACTTTTTAGGGCTTTGACAGGCAAAGCTTAAAAAAATTCCAAACACTGAAACAACTCCTCAGCACTCTGATGCTGGTCAGTAATGCTGCCAGCATAGGTAACGTTTTTATTTCTCAGAGGTCCAGCAGTATGGCATGATGGTGGGCAGTACTTGATTATTTTTTTTCTTTTTTCAATTCTCAACAAGTATAACTGTTGAGTTGGATAGTTTCCTAGTATAAATTGAGTAACATTTCCTGCTTGGATACTCCTAGCAAAATCTGAGTTGTAACATTCTCTGCTGTTCAGCTGTACAGAATGAAAACCTTCTGGTGTTGTGTTTAATTTGTTGCTTTTCAACTGTCAACAGGGCTCTGATATTGAAGATGAGGATATGGAAGAGTTGCTGAATGACACAAGACTGTTGAAAAGATTAAAAAAGGGAAAAATTAGTGAAGAAGAGTTTGAGAAGAGACTAACAGGCAGCCAGAGACTTAAAGTAGAAACTGTTGCTGACTTAGAGTCTGAAGACTGACAGTTATTCTGACAGCACTTTTACATTAAAATACTGCCTCTTTCAATAAAACTATTTTTTTAACAAAACAATGATGCAGAGAACAGAATTGATCTAATTTCTTCATAAAGTGACCTGGCGACCATAAAGACATACAAACGAGCCTGCAGTTAAAACAAAGCTAAAAGCACCGCTCTTGGATGGTGTGGCAGCAGCTGCAGATTCCCATTAGCACCTTGTGTGTGTTTCCATTTTGTTTTTTTCAGGTAAGTACCACAGATCAGTAAGTAACAGCAGACCTCAGAATGAGTTTGAATGAACCATAAGGTATTTTATTTTGCAGTATCAAAATACTCCACCCATCTTTAAAATAATTTATTTTAGGTCTTTAGAAGCTGTAGTAACTTTTGGGTTTTTTTTTAACAGTGGTCCATCCACATGTAATGGTTTACTTTAAAAACTCAAGAAGGCTGGTAATTTCATTAATCTCCTTACCATGTCCATAAACTTGTATCATCTTCCAAGTTCTTACAACTGTGATAGTGACTGAAGATGATACATCCTGTACAGAGTCCTCTGTTACAGATAGAGTTTAATAAGTTCATCACTGACTGCTGATGGAGTTAACACACCGAGGTCTGTGAAAAGTAACGTAATTAGCGATGGTGAGGTGTAGTCAATCCAGGGATGCTCCTCTGTTAGATTCTGACTTGTTTTCAGAGTGTCTGCTTTGTACTAGAAGGAAACAAGAGACCGTGAGTTATTACACAACCCCAAGTTAAAACCTCTTTTGGGCAAGAGTAGTACTATAGTATCGAGCAGATGTTTGTGGTAAAACTGAAGGAAGTCAGTTGCTTTAAAATGTGGCAGAGGCTGGTGCCACCTTGGTCTCAGCTGCTTTGTATGAAGTACAATTTGTAGTTCTGAAGTGTATTGATTTAACTGTTTCTTGCCCTCAGCTGCTCCTGTGCCTCCAAGGCTTTACGAACTTTAGTATTATGACAAATTATGTCTGTTTGATATGTGACTGTAACATGGAGCAACTCCACATTAGGTAAAGTAAGCTGCAGTAGAGAGACCCAGATAAATTAAGAGATGCTTAGAGAAAAATTTTTCATGGACTCGTGTGCATCTTAGCTGGCTAAGAAGTAAGTTGAATTTCTCTTACCTTAAACTTATCTGGGACGTCCTGCTGATTTAGAGGGAAAAGTCTTACAAACTTGAAACTTTCTGCTACCACATAAAATGGCTTATTCTGAGCTTTGGCACACACAGCAATTTGATTAGTGCCAATCTGCGGAGACAGATGGAAAACAACATGCAGACTCAGTCTGGCCTGACATAATATTGCCCAGTTTCCAACAATAAATAGACATTTACTGGATAACATCCAAATAGAAAAGACTTTTCAGAAAGCCTTGAATTCTTCAGAGAAACCAAACTTTAAAAGTCTAGAGTTTACAGAATGATGTAATAAACTCACTACCTATTACCTTGTTAATAATGCCTCCGCTTTCAACTACACCTTCAGCACCAACTAACACCAGGTCCACTTTCTCCATAATGTAGCTGTTCAAAGGGGGAAAAATATCCAAGTCTTACTGGGTAATATGACAAATGAATTGCTGAACAGAACAGAAATTAGTAATTCAAACAGTTTTTCACTTTTCTGAACTAGTAATCTACCTGTGTAAATCCACGTGCTGTTACACATAGTTGGAGTGAGCTTTCATCTGCTTCCCTGGCAGGAATACTAAGTAACCGTATTTTCTTCAGCCGTAGCTGACCTCAGCAATTATGTAAAGACTGGAAGAAGCTGAAATCTGACTAGGAATGACACTCGGTTACAGGAACATGAGTGTCTGTCGTAAGATGCTAAGTACGTAGTGAAGTGTAACTGCACCATGATAACTTGGCCAAATATATAGGGTGCTCCTCATCCAATGCCCCTTCCTTTACATCTCTCCAATATGTTAGTTTTCTTTTTAGCTCTGTATTTAAATTACCTTGAATAGATTTTACATTCCAAACAGAACTTGTAGACTTGTCTAGTCCAGCCACTATCTTCCCTAGATTAGAGGTGCCTTGGTAAGCAGACTGGTACGTATTGTCTTGGAGTCAGTCTCTTGGAGATTTTGGCACTTACGCAAGAATTGAGGTTCAGATTTATTATAGTTCTTTCTTTTCTCATGTTTTGTAATTCTATTAAGAAGTGGTAATTTAGCAAATAGCTTAAGAAACCCCAAAATGATAACACATATGCAAATTAGGAAAAAAGCAGCGATTTTGTGTAGCACCTCAGTCCTTGTTCACAGATATCGCTAAGTTCTACACTTAGGTCTGACTTCTTTTTTCATTCTAGCATGCAAACATCAAATACTTGTTATGTAGCTGGCATATTCTCCTAATGGTGCACCTAAAGGTGTAACTTGCTTAGCTTGTTTGATGACTATGACAAACTAAGTAATAACCTCTGTAGTTTGAACAAGCTTCTAGGACACTTACATATACCACTCTCAAAATACAATTGTGATGAAAAATATTAAGATTTAATGATGAGACTTACCCAACTGCAGCATCCAGAATCACAGTCACAGGAATGTTCAGCTTCCTCAGGGCTTTTGCCATCTTTTGCCTATTAAAAAAAAACATGTTTGATGCTTACAAGTTTTTTCTTTAAAGACAATGCTAGAAAAATATTGTCTGAAAGACTAAAACCCATGACTGCCCATGTTCCTAGCTGTTAACCAAGACAAAACACAAATTAATGAGTACTTGCCCTGCTTGATCTGGCTGTGATTCAGTAACATAAACACTGAATCGCTTCTTTGACTCAACAGCTGCTTCTAACACTCTGAGCACCACTCTGGAGTAGGCATGTGTCAATATTCGCTGTCAAAAAAAAAAAAAATCAGACATTAGTTTTTGCTGAGCTTTGGGAAACTTTCACTTTTGCTAATGGTGTCATGGCTTTTACTTCACATAACACATCAGTGTTAAATAATAATGTGTGTTACTTTTATTCTACAAGTCACAGGATAGAAAAGCTCTCTGTGAGCTGGCCCTTATGGGGCCAGCCCTGCCTGCTGGTGCCAAGCAGTGATGATTTAGTATTTTAAATGCAAACTTGAAGCTGTGACTCCTCTGCACCTCTCAGAAGTAGACCACAAATTAAAGCTGGATTGCATGGGAACAAGAAGGGGGACGAGATGAGTCTCTACAAAACAAAGTGATGTGTGATGTTACACCTCTGCACCTACAGAAGCCACCATCAGACGGTGCTGCTGTGGGTGTCAATGTACTTCAGTCCCTCCCTTTCTGCTTTTCCACTACGGCAAGCAGCAAAGCCACAGAACCAGAGCGACTCTGCCTCGGCCAACTCACAGCACCATCTCTGATGAAAGGATGACACAGCTTGGCGATTTTGTTCCTCGACAGAGACACTTTCCTGAGGAATATCTCCCCACGCTCGATCATGATTTCTTTGCACTTGGAGTAGTCCTGAAAAAAACGCAGCAATGTCAGCTGTGAGGCTGGAGGATCCCCCTCACCTCGGCAGGCCCCGAGGCTGAGCACGGCCCGGCCCCCCCTTACCGAGTACTCCAGCGAGGTGAGGCTGATGAACCGCAGGAACAGCTCCCCGCCGGAGGACACGGCCACCGACGAGTCCACCCGGGACAG